CTTTCCCTTGTACTTCCTACTTTAGATGCCTATGTCCTTCATTTAAAAAACAATTATTGTGTGTCCTTTAAGGTCGTTGCAGACCCAATCTCAGATTTTCTTTCTGTTTAGTTTTAGCAAGCAATTTATTGTTCAGATACAGTTATCTTAGAACAGCCATAGCATCTGATGCTTCTACTTCTTCTTCTTTTTCTTCTTCGCGTTCACCAGCTGTTAACTCTGGCGGAAGGTTCTGGTTGCTCGTCCACTACTGAACTGCAGTCTTGCTCCAGAACCTGAGTGTTGCGTGTGCATCAGTTTTACAGATCTCATTCTCTTGAATACAGACTGTTGGTTCCTTGCCTCTCCGGCAGATGCACTCCGACTTCAAAGGAAGCTCCCTATTTAGTCGACTCTTACGACATGCTTTTTGGGAGGCAGTGGGTCTATTCTTGTTTTCCCCACAATGGGACCCCGGAACCCACACGGGATAGCATCTGATGCAAGTTGCCTTGCAGAAACTAGAACATGAACAGCCATAGCATCTGATGCAAGATGCCTTGCAGAAACTGAACAAGAATAGCCATAGCATCTGATGCAAGATGCCTTGCAGAAACTAGAACATGAACAGCCATAGCATCTGATGCAAGTTGCCTTGCAGAAACTAGAACATGAACAGCCATAGCATCTGATGCAAGATGCCTTGCAGAAACTAGAACATGAACAGCCATAGCATCTGATGCAAGATGCCTTGCAGAAACTAGAACAAGAACAGCCATAGCATCTGATGCAAGATGCCTTGCAGAAACTAGAACAAGAACAGCCATAGCATCTGATGCAAGATACCTTGCAGAAACTAGAACAAGAACAGCCATAGCATCTGATGCAAGATGCCTTGCAGAAACTAGAACATGAACAGCCATAGCATCTGATGCAAGATACCTTGCAGAAACTAGAACAAGAACAGCTATAGCATCTGATGCAAGATACCTTGCAGAAACTAGAACAAGAAACGCCATAGCATCTGATGCAAGATACCTTGCAGAAACTAGAACAAGAATCGCTATAGCATCTGATGCAAGATGCCTTGCAGAAACTAGAACAAGAATCGCCATAGCATCTGATGCAAGATACCTTGCAGAAACTAGAACAAGAATCGCTATAGCATCTGATGCAAGATGCCTTGCAGAAACTAGAACAAGAATCGCCATAGCATCTGATGCAAGATGCCTTGCAGAAACTAGAACAAGAATCGCCATAGCATCTGATGCAAGATACCTTGCAGAAACTAGAACAAGAACAGCCATAGCATCTGATGCAAGATGCCTTGCAGAAACTAGAACAAGAATCGCTATAGCATCTGATGCAAGATGCCTTGCAGAAACTAGAACAAGAATCGCCATAGCATCTGATGCAAGATACCTTGCAGAAACTAGAACAAGAATCGCTATAGCATCTGATGCAAGATGCCTTGCAGAAACTAGAACAAGAACAGCCATAGCATCTGATGCAAGATGCCTTGCAGAAACTAGAACAAGAATCGCTATAGCATCTGATGCAAGATGCCTTGCAGAAACTAGAACAAGAACAGCCATAGCATCTGATGCAAGATGCCTTGCAGAAACTAGAACAAGAACAGCCATAGCATCTGATGCAAGATGCCTTGCATAAACTAGAACAAGAACAGCCATAGCATCTGATGCAAGATGCCTTGCAGAAACTAGAACAAGAACAGCCATAGCATCTGATGCAAGATACCTTGCAGAAACTAGAACAAGAACAGCCATAGCATCTGATGCAAGATGCCTTGCATAAACTAGAACAAGAACAGCCATAACATCTGATGCAAGATACCTTGCAGAAACTAGAACAAGAACAGCCATAGCATCTGATGCAAGATGCCTTGCAGAAACTAGAACAAGAACAGCCATAGCATCTGATGCAAGATGCCTTGCAGAAACTAGAACAAGAATCGCTATAGCAATAGTAGCAAGTTGTGAAAATTTGGATTTTCACCAACAAGAAGATGTCTGTTGTCCGTTAAAAAAAAAAAAAAAAAAAAAAGAGTTGAAGTGTTATGAAGAAGTTATGTTATTATATGCAAGCAAAACATGGACAATGAGCAGATAAGCTAAAAAATATTTACTCGCGGCAGAAATGTAGTTTTCGAGAAGTATTAAAGAATATCATGGACGGATAGAAAAACAAACGAAGCAACTTCAAGGACACAGATGAAAGTCGGAAACATATTAGAATAAGACGATCATGATGATGATGATGTTCAGTTATTGCTAAGGGTGCAAGTGAAATCGAACCTGGAATTACAGAATTATCAAACACGTTCGCAGTGCAGATACCACACATGCGACATACCCGTCTGTATCATCTTTAGATGATGTATGTCCACTTTCGTGGTCGTCCCTGACTCAGATGTTTTGAATTCAACGTTACAGTCATCCACATAAGTGGTTTGCAAGTCAGGCGATTCGATGGCAAACAGTTGTGCGTAGATTCTTTTTTACAACGGTATGAGCGTCGTGCCGTTTGGAGAGAAATGGTAAACTACTAGAATTATCTAGCTAAATCACTCCAAAATCAGTAAATGCTTGGCTGGGTTTACGATGCTCTGAAGATGCCAGACAAGTCACATTGTGTTTTACCATTTTGATTTACTCCAAGCGGAATAGCTCTGGGTGGGACAGAGGAAGTGGGGCAGGGGTCGATCAACCCTTAGAAAGCTGACTGTCAGATAATTTCCAGACTTTTCTGAGAAGGATAAGTGATAAGAACGGAAATATAAAGTGTTTCTATTCTCATTACATGCTCAACCAATGATGTATGCTTCGTTTATTCATTTTCACTTACTGTTCTGTTTTTATTAACTGTTTGTGCACAATTGAACTAGTCGACACCCTTCACGACCAGGCCAGTCACACAACTGTGAATAATCTGTCACAGAAGTCACGCTGTTTCAAAACTTCCTACTTCACCTACTCCTTCCTAGACTTTCTGGACTAAAAGGCATAAATCATCACACGGGACCTTCATTCGCCGATGCATTTTCATGGGTTTCACCCCCCCCCCCTCACCCCCCCCCCTCATTGATTTAAAAAAAAAGGTGGGTAACCAAACTCTGCTCCACGTCTGTGCATATCAAAAGTGGGGCCGTCATCTTTAAACTGCCATTATCATGTCACAGTGTTCGGCTTTACTGTGATGTCAAGTGATTAACACTTTTTGCATCTGCTATGACAGCTTACCATACTGACATGGTTTTTGTAATTTCATTCACACTTTGAAGGTTTCAATTGACGCCCTGTAGAATTTACTGCTGAAATCCAACGTATCTACTCGTTTTCTCCTCATGACAGGGTGGATTAGTGAAAAATTATATTCGGAAGTGGTGGAATGGCGAATGACGATAAAACAATGGACAGATAAAAATACTAATGAAGATGTCTTGAAAGATTCTATATCAGGAAGAGAACGGGTAGTCCACATCAGAAGGAGACAGTTTACATTTGCATTCTTTGGTCATGTCATGAAAAGAATAAAATTGGAGTATATCATAATAGTGGGAAAGGTTGAGGGAAAAAAGAGGCTGAGAGAGACGAGAAAGAAAATGCCGAATAGCTTAATATTATGGCATGGAAGATCATTTGTTTCTGAACTGATTAAATGTACAAGAGACAGAAGGTTGTTGTTGTTATCGATCCAGCGGCGCATGAGCTTTCGCCCTTTGGCCCAATGCCATGTAGTGGAATTTGCATGTTTTCACAAGCTGTTCTTTTCCTCCGTACAAGGTGTTCCACTTGTCTGGTCTCGGAGGGAGTAGCGTTCTTCTTGTCTCACTGAGTTTTGGGCACTCAAAGAGATGGTGTTCAACAGTTTCGTAGGGGTAGTTACATAGCTGGCACTCTGGGGAGTGTTGTGGCTGTATTCTGTTTAGGTGTCCATTGAGTGGAGTATGTTGCGTTCTAAGTCTGAAGATGGTGGCCTGGTCCCTTCTTGTTAGATGGTTAATGCTGTCATTAGGATCAGGGCCAGACATATGTCTATAAACCTCTCTTCCAGTGTCTCCCATGGCCCATCTGTTCAACCAAGTCTCTTTGTTTATAGCTCTTATCAGTGTTTTTGCTGTCTGGAGGTTTGTCGCTGTAGGTGGTTGTTCTTGTGTTGCTCCTTTCTTTGCCAATCTGTCAGCTCTGTCATTACCTGGTGTGCCGGAGTGACCTGGAATCCACTGCATCACTATTCTGATGTTGTATGAGGTAATAAGCTGATCGGCATCCAGGATTATCTTGGCTATGTCAGTTCTGCAGCGTTCATTGCCCTCCAGAGCTTGAAGGGCAGACATTGAATCTGTGAAGATGACAATATTTTGGACCTTTGAGGGGTAAACATCCATTACAGTCTTTAGGTGGTATACGGCTGTTTCCAGTGCAATTATTTCAGCTTCATAGTTTGAACAGAATTCCCCGCATGCATCAAAAATCTCTTCAACAGATCCATCGGGATAACCTATGTAGATTCCGTAACCTGCTTTAATGTAGCTTTAAATGCTGATCCATCAGTATAGACATGTATCCATTCTTGGGGGTAAGAATCAACGGTCTTTAGTGATGAGTTCATAAGAGCGATTGGGTCGGACTGTTTGGTTTCCTCGCCTACCAATTTAGTTTGGACTTCTGGAGCTTTAAAGCGAGCATGTGGTGGTAGGTTTTTTGCAACATTCTGAATTCCTTGACGTCTTTCTGGGAGGTGGTATCTGTCCTGAATTTCATTAACACAGTGTAAAACCGATTTGTGCTTTATTCTTTGTTTGGATTCCCAGTTTTCTACAAGATGTCTATTAGGATGGTTACGATTTTTCCTAACGCATCTTTCATAAAATTTCTAAAGTGGCTTTTTCTCTCCGCAACCCGAGGGGTTCCACATTTGTATGGATTTCACATGCAGCAGTTGGTGTAGACTGCATAGCTCCGCAGATTAATCGGAGGGCATTATTTTGTACTCTGTCAAGAGTCTCTAGGTTAGTTTTGGAACAAGTTGTAAGCAGTGAGTTGTTGTACTCTATCACAGAGCGAACATATCCTAGGTATAAGCCCCTCAGAGTTTCCTTGTCTGATCCCCATGATGTACCTGCAAGTCTCTTTAATAACTGTAACCGCCTCAATGCCTTATTCCTGATGTTTTCAATATGGTTCTTGAGGCTGAGCTGCGGGTCAAGTGTGACTCCAAGGTATGTGGGATGCTCTTCTTTCATCACTTGGTGTTTGTCTAACCTCAGGACAGAAGGTTGTAGATATACATGACTACCAACGCCACACGGCATGAACTATAGTATAAAAAAAAGAATATAGGCTATGTCAACCATGTAGCCAGGGTCATTCCATAATTAAAAATCCGCCGTGATGTTGGTTTAAACTCAAAACCTACAAGCAGAAAGAAAGTTCGCTATCTACTGTGCTACACTGGCACTCAGTGAAGTCATAAAGAGTTGTCATCTTTGGTACTGCTTGATCATCTTATCTTGCATTTCAAGTACTTCCTGCAGCCTGAAAGTGTTTTCCTGGGCGGCTGCGAATGTTTTCGCCAGCCTACATTTGTCCAGAAGATCCTGCCTGCTGGTAATCACATTCGTCAGTGTTTCATACACCATTAGAAATGCTAGATTAAGAAAAGCGGCTGGCACGAAAACTAATAATATGCCTGTGCAGGGATATATATATATATATATATATATATATATATATATATATATATATATATATATATATATATATATATATATATATATATATATATATATAAATGCCAAATCACAAACTACAGAGATTAACATTAGGCACAAATGGAAGGCGTTTCATGAGCTGACAAAATATGATATCAACGATTCACATATTTGCTTCATTTATGTAATAGTTACTGTAGTATGCACCTTACGAGATACAGCAAAGTATGCCAGGCCATAAATTGGGCAATCTATTGTTTGTGTCTTCTTTGTTCAAATTTACAACGGAGATACATTGCTTTGAAATTAAGATACGACGGTTGGCGAGAAATAACAGAGTGACTAACACTTCATTTCACCACCCCCCCCCCCCCCCTGTTTTTTCTACACCGCTTTAAAAGTGGATATACAGACAGTAAAACCTGTTTTTGGTTTTTAATAAACCCTTTGTAATGTATATTTTCTATGATTGTAGGCTATAGAATTGTTTGCAGTACATGATTCACTGTTCTTTAGTAAATCATGGACAGTGCAAACAATTCTAACGCCTAGGATTATAGAAAGTATACATTACATTAATAATAATATAAAAAAATATTTTACTGGCTGCCTAAACAAATGCAAATCATACATGCCATAAAACATGTCTCACCGTATCATTTTCAAGGTCTCCATTGTCTGTTTTCTCATCACATGCATCATCAACCTCGGACAATTGGGCTTGATTTATATGTTGCCCCTCATTTTCACCGTCTGAATTCTCCTCTTTTTCTACAAGATCATTTGTGTCAGCAATCTCGCATTCTTCTGTGTACTTCTTCTTCCTTTCATCTGCATCCTCCTCTACGTCAATTTCTTCAGATTCCTCAATGTCTTTGTGAGTGCTAAGATCTTGGGCACACATGCTGTCACTGTCTTCATTAGCGTCATCATCCCTTTGGAGGTCATTGTGAACATGGCTCTCGGCGTCTCCATGATTGTTGAGTGGTGGCGATACTGACGACGAAGGCGAAGATGAACACGGGACAACTCGTTTAAAAGCAGACATACGATCCCGAATCTTGTCCCCTCCCCGCTGAAAACTTGACTTCATTATGTTTTGTGGAACATTGTGGGCAGGAGAGTGACATGGCGCTACTTCAGACGGAGGAGAGAGATGCCCAGGGTTGTCAATAATGGCTGCTGTTACTGCTGAATGTGCTGCAGCTGCTCCAGGAAGTGCGGGAGACGGGTAACCATTGTTTCTGAACCCGATAGCTGCAGCTTGTGGAAAACTAAATGCCTTGTCCCAAAACAAATCCATAGATGATAAAGAAAACGGACCAGGATTTGCAGACCGACCCATCCAAGATGTTGGTGCTAAAGGGGGAACCTTCATCCGTTCAGCCATGGCGTCCTTGTTTGCCGCTGCTTGAGGTGGGAAACCAAAGCACATTGACTGGGAAGAGTTCATTGCCATGAATGGATATGGCGCCTTTCCTTGGCCGGTAGCCAGCCAGTTATAAGGATTGAATGGATTTGGGAACGTTGGAGGTTTAGGAAGGTAAGGATTTGACTGCATTGGAGCTGTTGTTTTGGCCTTTTTGCCACCGCTGCCTCCGTCTGGGTTGCCATGAGATCGTCCTGAGAAATGTCCAGACGAATGATTCATAGATGATATTGATGATGCGTTTAATGACGAGGATGCTGAAGATGAAGAAGCGGATGATGATGAAAATACTCTCTTCCTTGTGCCTCCATTAAACATCGCTTTCACGTCTTCCCATTTATATGCAATCTCGTCATTCTCCACACCGGAATACAACTTGAGGTGCCGTCTCCAGGAGTTGAAGTTTGCAGCGTCGGGATGGTTGTATTTGGCGTCAGGCATCCGGTGGAAGTGAAAGATGAATTTGTTGGGGGAGAAGTACATGTTGCAGAATGAACACTTGATGCACTTGGCTCTTGAGCTGTTGTATCTGGATGGCTCAAAGAAACCTGGTGAAGGTTGTGGAAGAAAGCAGTTAGACAAACCAGAGCTGAGAATAATCAAAGAATGCACTATAAACATGCATGTGTTTATCCTTAGAAGAAAAAACGAAAGAAAAAATAAACATTGACCTGTATGTAATATGTTTATTTTAAATTATTATGTCCTTTAAAGCTGCTCTAGCTTTTAAACAATACGTTTTACAAAGTATGGTACGACATATACCTGCGAATACCCAGAAGCATAAATATATAAGCATTTTCATACTTCGTTATTTCTTCAATTAAAGTACTGTTTCCTACGTTTCGCTTTGTCTTGAAAACGGTGTAAAAGCAAAGGCAAACTAGTGAGCGTAAACTTGTCTAGCAACAACCACACATTAGCCAACACACGGTAGGACTGGTTGCAGATGTCTTACAAAGATATGTATATCATCACATTTATACGGATGCCTACTGTCTTTGCTCTGTTCTTTTCATTGAATACTTTATCTACTCAGTCTATAAAGATTTACCATTCTTGCATTTATGTTCAGTTCTTTATATTCCTTTTCTTTCTTTTTTTTCTATCTTTCTTTGTCTTTTTTTTTTGGGGGGGGGGGGGGGGGGGGGGGGGGAGGGGGGGGGGGGGAGGGTGTAAAATCACTGCACTGATTTATACTTAGGTACAACATCCTAATATTTAGCAGCAGCAGAAGACGTCTTTTTGACGTCCTTAGTGTTTAACTTTACAATTATCCCGGCCTGGTCCAGACTTCGGGTTACTTCGTTACCGTCTGGGAGCTGCAATATAACCTTACGATTAAACGGTCCTTTTGGGGATTCTTTACATGTAAGATTCTCATACTTGACCCTTCGAGCTGCAATCCTAGAAGCTACGAACTACAAGCAAACACGTTAACTCTATTTTCCCGATCAGCTGATGTGGTCAATGTAAAAATTCAACTTATTTTACCCTATTAGTACAATTTTTAGGGTAAAGTTAAAATTATCGTGTGCAAAATATAGTATTTAAATTTTTCAACTTTGTGTCGCCAGTCCCGCGGCCTTTGTGTATTGTGTTTAAAATATAACTTCTGCAAGTGCACCATCTCAGTGACAAGACATTTATCGATATATCTGTGCTAGTGTTGTCTCTTTAAGAATAGCAATCGAGACACAAACTTAAAAGTGAATTACATTTGGCGCAAACTATACAGTTCCACGATGACCTATGTTCTCAAATTTGTATCTTCGCTTGTGAATTCCTGACACCACATACTCTATACTCTCTGGAGTGTTTATAGTATCAATTTTTATTTTAAAAAAAATCAATACTTTCCATGCCAGGTGATATTTTTACCAGAGGTTTTGTTTTGTCTAAGTCAGTGCATGTGAAAACTGATGTACGTTTGGTCTCCATTTGGAAAACATTAAACACCAGATGTACGTTGGTAGGCTTGCTTTGTGAGGGAAAAATCGTTACCTTTAAGCAGCATCCCCAAAGGGGGAGCTTTAGGTTATGACTGTGACAAGGTTTATGTGCGCCATATAAAATGGCAGAGCACTGATCGCCACCAAGTAGCCCTGAAAAGAACTCCTGCAGTTTTGATGCGATCAAAAGACACAGGCCCAAATACTCTACCAACCAACGAAAGGTCGTCCACCGGCCAGCCAATGGCCCACCCGGTCGCTGATTAAAAATTACGTTTTAAACTAGATAATCTTAACGCGTCTGCTTACCACGACATCCCCAGCCACATTCGTGGTGCACGTCAAAGGCGAAGTCGTCTGGCAGTTTTGGAGGCGTGTTTTCTTCCAGGAAGCTCTTGACCAGGCGCTCGGCTTCTCTTTTGGTGATCATTCCACATCTTCGTGAAGATACTGGCATCGCACCTGCTCGACGTAATATTTCCAGCTGCAAAAGTGAATTTTTCTGCGTCATATACTGGCTTTCAGTACTTAAATTTTTAGCTAACCCCAGACACAGTAACCCCTCCGAATCACAGGAAAAGTCCAAAATTATGGGGGCGGGGGGGTTAAAGTTAGTGTTAGGATTAGTCAGTATTCATTTCAAACCACAACATCCCTATAATACTGGGTTCCCAGAGGGTTCCCCGTGTTTGGGGTTAGCTAAAATGAAAAGGCTTTGCTTTTTTTATGTCTAGGGGCTCTAAGACATATGATGATAAATAACCTGACGACTGCAAGAAATAAATATGCTGACGATTTATAGAATTCAAGAAAATGAAAACGTTGATAATCTGTAGGTAACAACAAATGAGAATGTTAGTAATCATTGATAGCATTATATGGCTTTTGTTGTGTTGATTATTTATATTTTACTGTGAGAAGTTTATCTTTTGAGCGACGAAAGGACTTTGTGTCTATTGCAGCGAGGTTGCCGCGGAAACTGTCATCTCTGAACGGTACTAAAGTATGATTGGGATTGTCTTACAGAGCTTTTCTTTCTTCCTTCACCAAGCCCAGAAACAAGCTGACCGCACCAGAAGTGATCTAACTGTACGCAAAAACATGTGTGACTCTAAAGCCTACAAAGACATACACCAATAGAATAAACATTCATGCACAGAAAAATTAGAAGACAGGCTACTCATAATGAAATGGATGACAGGCGCGGTCCAAAGCATTTTGTTCCCATGAGTCCACCTCAATACCTGTATCATTCATGTTCCGCTTGCACACATCTTTATATCGTTGTAGAGGTCTGCCTCGACATCTTCAACCCATCTTTAATTCACCATAGAGAATGTCCATAGGGACTCTGATATCCTCCATTCGAGAACTGTGACCAGCTACCTGAACCTTCGTAGACTGAGCATTGAGAAGACTGTTTGTTGTAATACATGCTGTTTCCAACAACTAAGTGTTTGTGATCTTGTTCCGCCGTTTAATGCCAAGTATTCTTCTTAGGCATCGCAAGTGAAAGCTATTTAGTCATTTCACCTGGTGAGTATCAGTTAACCTAGTTTCACTGCAATTTCTGAATAGGATTAGAACCGACCTCACAGCACTCTAACCATTCCCATAAGCGATTCGTCCTCATTTTCAGGAGCCAGTTTACACGGTACCAGTCGCTGTCTGACTGTATGTCCCTCTTTCATTTTCTCGGAGTGTTGAGTGTCGGCTAGATCCCCTGTCACAACTGGGATTATACATTTATGGATACCCATAGGGATCGTCCATGGAGCTACGGTTTTCGGGCTCTGTGCAGCTCTCACTACAGACGGTTAGCCCTCCTGCGCAGGGAGACAGGGGAAAATGGTATAAAACATTCTGCAGTGACAACGATCTTCTCGACTTTGACTTAAACCAACATAGGATTAGAGATATTACCTGTGTTGAGGTTAGAAAATTACAAATAATAATAAAAATATTAATAATAATAATAACAATAATAATAATGGGATTAAACAGCTTCCTAACACTGAGACTAGAGAAACTCACTTGAACTGGGGTGCACTGGACACATGTGATGCCCAGCGCCACGCGTCTGTTGTGGATTTCATTGTAACTGTAGTCCTTGAGAAGAGTGTTGGAGATTTGTGCGAGACACAGTCGCTCCTGTTGAAGAAAGTTTAGGTCGGTGTAATTTTCAAATCTCTTCGCGCTGCCAGGAGGCGTCAGTTTAAAATCTTAAAGGTGTTGTAGGAAGTACAATAGACATCTCATTGTCTTGTAAAATGTCAGTATTGTTGTAGTGGTTGTCAAGAGTATGAAGCACGTGATATTACGGTGTGGCTGGAATATTGTGACGTCATAATAGCAGTTTGAGAATGACCGCCCCACTTTTGACATGCACCCAAGAGGAGAAGCGTTGTATTATCCGTTTTGTTTTAAATTAGTGAAGGGATGAAGCCTATAGAAAGCAATCAACAAATGTAGATCCAGTATGGTGATATACAATGTCAACAACAATATTGACAAGTCACAAGAAAATGACATGGTTATTGTTGTTTATAAATTACTTTAAGAATTTTCATTTGAAATCCCCACCCCGAGTAATTTAAGCCTTGTTTGATAGTTGGAAGAACTGTGGGTATTCAGCTGTGTGATATTCATGACCTGGTAAAGCATCGCATATGATAGTGTTCTATATTTAACATAAAAATCATAGCTGCAAGAAGCCTCTGAAATGAAGTGGCCAACATGTTTGTCTACCAGACGGGTTGGTGGAGATGGTTAGATTCAACCAGCTATGAGCTGGGTTATTCTCACAGCGCCTGAACATGTCCGTATGTACTCAGACACAAAGCAACAGCTTCGACGAGCTGGCTAAACCAGGAGAGGGTAGACGACCTGGTTCTAAACCACTTAGTAAATAGGATATGTCTACCCTGCATGAAAAGACTGGACTCGGCGGATTGTGCGGATGAAACCTCTTATTGGTTCAACGGACAAGATGGCGTTTACCAGCAAGCTCTGTGGAGAGCTTCGAGCAAGGCAGGGCACTTAAGACGCCTTGGTCTCCACTGTATAGGTCCATTTCCAATCGTCTCGACATCGTCCTGCCATTGGATCAAGATGGACACAGGCGAGCGAGTGAGGTCGACGAATTACTCACCTCTTCCTCACTTAAATCCAAGTCCTTGCGCAAGTCACTTTCATCCAGCTACTTTGGATGAAAGTGGTCTTCATCACTCGTGATGGACGGACAACAACACACTCATCAGCACACTTTGGTCAACAGAGTTTCTCAATGTGCACGACTTTCAACGCGGTAATATTTTCCTTGCCTCTCCATTTCCTAAAGTTGCACATTAACTAGTCTACCATACCATTTATCTATCTATTATACTCAAGCTGACTCAAATTACTGCAGTAATTTCCTTGAGAAAACAGTATTTAAAAAATATTAAAGACATAGCCTGCGGTAACAGAAAGCATATAATTCTCAGTTTTTACAATGGCGGTTTACACCTGTGCTGTGGTTAACAGCTAAGTTACGATATCTGAGCCTTTTACCCAACACCTCTCATTTCAGCCAACCCCTAATTATTTGACGTTTACTAAATACGTGTTAGGGGTGCACTGCACCTAGTCTATCTCCCACAAACCACTCCAAACCCCCAAACCCCAACCACCCCCCCCCGCCCCGCCCAGTGCCCCCATTTGAAACCCGGTAATAGAAACATTGGTCTCCGCACGGACCGTCTATATATACACTAGCTCACTTTCAATTGATTGACCTTCAGCCAGCTCACTTCTGATTGGTCGACTTCGAGCCACCCGACATGGCACTAGGTGATGGGGGTATTCTTCAATGCCGTTGTTATGGCCTTTTCTATATTTTAGCATTCCATCGCCTTTAAAACTACAAAAACATCGACAATCTGGGTCTAACACACTCCACCTTTAAAGAGTGATGAAACCTGTGTCACAGGCATATTCTTTATCGAAATAAAAAAGTAAATGCAAGACAGAGTGGCACACCCGTAATGTCCAGCTTGTTAGACAGTCCAAGAAAGTTATCAGTGAAACGTAACCTACTTTCTGTGGGGAGACTAACGTTTGTTTGACCGAACCCTCTAATGGTAACTCACCTTGTTATCAATTACTAGCGACACAATCGCTACGCCGTGCAGCATGATATTGCTAACCAGGTTTTGTCTGGGGTGGCTGGTGGTCGTCGTGTTACCAGACGTACTCTTGACGTGGCTGATGGGCGCCGTGCCACTGTTGCTGCTCTGGCAGTCACTCATCATACTGTTGCTGTTTTCGTTGTCCGACATGGACGAGGAGAAGCCCGTGAAGCTACCGTTGGTGTTGCTGCTCAGCATGTTTCCGGAGCTGTTGTGGGCGTGTGCGGCTGGGGGTGACGGCCACTGATCTAGAGGGGATCGACATGCCACTCCCATTCTTCCAGATAGACCACTATCAATGGTCTGTGTGTCCATTAAGTCTGAAATTTGAGATTTATTATTTATTTTATTACCTTCATCTGTAAACAGGGTTTCCCCACATGAACTAAGCAGATGAAATCAGTCTTCTAAATAGACCATCAGTAACAAACCAGAAGCCACATATGATTTAGGAAATATGGCATTGAAAATCACCTACGGAATGACAAATATAGTGAAGACATCTGTGACAGATCAAGCAGAGATGACACTGGTCACATGAATAAATGTGGTAACCTATTAGGTTACACTTTTTATTGCCAAGTAACCCATGAGAAAAAAATGAAACGCTTAGGCAAGAAGACAACGGCAGCCTTAAAAAGTATGAACTGCATTATCAAGTTGAACAAAAAAAAAAATTGTGTATTTAAATTTCAACATTATTTCCAAATACCAGCAGTGACAGTTGGAGGACCACTAAGGGAAGTAAAGTTTAATACCAGAATAAATCATAAAGGAAGCAGATGAACATTAAACGGAATAAATTTGAGAAAAGTGAAGGAAAAAAAAAAAAAGGCAAAATCTATGCTACCACCAGATCAACGCTTTTAAGACACACACACACACACACACACACACACACAAACACACACACATACATACACACACACACGCGCGCGCACGCACACATACACACACACGGCGATTTTGTAGGCACGTCACCAGGAAAAAAGGACAGAATCACCAAACATACAATGCAATGGCAAACAAGTGGATGGAGCACACGAGGTCGTGCAAGAGAGACCCTAAGATGACTGGATTCCATCTATGAGGACAAAAACAGTTCGTAAAATAGATATATTGCGAGCGCTAAGTAACACAAAAAGATGAAGACGTTGTTGATGATGATGATGATGATGATGACGATGAGGATGTCGGTACTCGATCGGCGATGTGAATTTTATGTGTGGATTTAGTACATGACAATGTCGACTGGGTGCATGCCTAGTAGTAACTGAACTACCTCCACCCCTCAAATAACAAGTTCCTGTGCTCCATGGTAATTCTCATTACATTATGAACGTTACCACTATCAGCATAATTTATTTATACTTTTGGCGTTAAGTGGCGTGGGGAGGAACATTTTGCGATCCGTTGTTTGGTGGGTAGCAATAGCTATTGCCATACCGTGTCAATGTAAAAGGTCTTTAGTGGTATCAGTCCATAATCATAGGGCGACCTCTTGATTCCGCCCAGAATTGTATCATGTATAGCGGCTTGTGTTGATATGTGTTCTGGGTGCATTTTAACTAGATGGAGAAACCATTTAATCTTCTATTTCTCAATGAATTTAGCGCACGGTGTTGTTCCCGCGGCTCTCTGAAAGTATTACTTCTAACTTTACCTCGAATTGTTTTCTTCTTCGTGTTCTTCTTCTCCCGCGGAAAGTTCTGGATGTTCATCTACTTCTGGACTTCCTCTAGAACCTGAGTTTTGCGTTCACATCCGTTTTACAGATCTGGCTTTTGTGTATGCAGACTGTTTGTTCCTCACATCTCATACAGATGTACTGACTTCGACAGAAATAGCACTGATTAGTTGATTGGTCTGTTGTTGTTGTTGTTTAAACACCCACATTGGGGCTACAGAACACACACGGAGAAGTGACATGAAGTCTCGGATAGTGACGTTTCAGGCACATTTATTTTCAATGTGCTATTTTAATTAAGTTAACCTTTGTTTGCGGATTAGGCGTTGCGAACACATTTCGTAATGCCGGGGTGCCGGGTTCGATCCCAGCTGCCGGCCTTGCGCCTTGCGTTGGTTTCTACAGTGGTGTCGAGAAGCCGACCGCCCAGAAAGCAACTTCAAACTACTGGACGTAAATTTGCCTAGAAAAACCACAACTAAAAAATGCTGGGGTTGGTTCTGCAACGTCCTGTAAAGGATGTGCAAGTAACTTTTTTTTTTTTTTTTGAAATCGTTTGATAATGTCGAAGCTTGGCACTGATAACACAGTGATGGTATGAACATGCTGTTTATAATCTGTGTTAATGTGCTCATTTTTAGAGTCTTCATTAAACTCAGAGGGAGTAGCAGTGGTCTAGCGGCTATACGCTCGCCTGCCGATCGGAAGGTAGCGGGTTGAGGTCCTGATGAAGCCGGGATTTTTTTTTTTTCAAAAATGACTGTGGCTCCCTTGTCGACCCAGCCTCAATTGGGTACCAGCTACAGTCCCTGCAAGTAAGGCGGCCGGCGTCATTTTGACAACATCCCCCACCTAAGCTGATTAGCCTATAAAATATAGATATATATGATCCATACGTCTGAAAGCGTTTAAAAGGGTCCAATTAACATCAGAGTCTGGTCCAAAAACATTTTTCTGCCAACTTTATGATTCGAGCAGTGGAAGTGCAATGTCCATTAGCTTGTTTGCACGCCAAAAGTTCTTAAGTCGAATCAGTCTCCAGGCGCCATTTCGTAACTAACCTTCTGCTCTCATGTCAATAATGCATAAAATTGGTGCTAGGAAGTGTCCTGCGAAGCCACTGCGGCCGTCGTGATGTTAGTCATATCATAAATTCACTGAATACTAATAAGTGTTTGTTAAAAAAAAAGCTTCCAAGCAAGAAAAAGGGAAATACACACACGTGCGCGCATGTTTGAGTGCGCAATATAAATACATTTCAAGCTGAAGATATGTCATTTCGTTTGGGTACGCAATGTAACAATGTCACGCTAAACATATGTCCTATCTTTTGAGTAGATAATTTCACGCCAAAGATATGTCCTATTGTTTGGGTATGTAATGTAAAAATGTTACGCTGAATATATTCCTATCGTTTGGGTACGCAATGTTAAAATTCCAGTCTAAAGATCTGTCGTTCCGTTTGGGTTTGCAATGTAAAAATGTCAGGCTAAAGATCTGTCCTTCCGTTTGAGTTTGCAATGAAATAATTTTGGTCCAAAGATTTGTCCTTCCGTTAGGGTATGAAATGTAGAAATTCCAGTCTAAAGATCTGTCCTTCCTTTGCGCAATGTAACAATGTCTAGCCTTATATATGTTGCATGCTTTAAAAATTTCTGTGTTCTAGGTATCGGCCCACCATTTGAACAGACAATTGAGACTCTGTGGAGGACAAGGTCAGTGTCACTATGGCTGCCTTTACTTCCCATAAATTTACTATTAAAAGCTGGGGTTCGCTCGGGAGCCTAGGCCAATATAAAACATCGTCGCTTTTAAGTTAATAGATAATTATCGAGCCGACATGCAAGCATGTTACCTACTGCGCTACTGCGACTGTCAAGACTTTACACTTCTGTAATTATAGTGTTTGATGTTTAATAAATAACTACAGTCTTTATAATTGTGGAAATATAAAATTCTTACGATACTCGGAGTACAACTTGCGATACGCGGTAATCGCATATCAGATATTGTCATTGTAGTGCAAAATGTTTGACTTTCACATATTTGTGGTCACCACACTGGAACTCTGTCCCGACAAACAAACATTCATTTTGTTATGCAAAAGAATGTAATGCGTTTAAAGGAGAATAGGATGCGGTGGTTGTTTAATGTATTCATGAAACTTTATATTACACTTGTGTTTTTACAATCATTCCCAAATTGCGATTCCTATGGGCATTCATCATCATCAGGTGCCTTGCCGACTGGCGTGGGCGATCATGCCTCTCCATAATCTGCGATCTCCTGCAGCATGTATCAGTTCGTGTGCCGACACACCTCCATGCCATGCAACAAGACTGTCAAGCATCTTCTCTCGTTGTCTTCCTCTATCCCTCCTTCCACAGATCTTTCCAGTGGTCACAACATGTTCTATTTTCCCTCTTCTCATAACATGGCCGAAAAATGATGACTGTCTCCTTCTGATGTCTGTGATAAGTTGTCTTCGGGCTCCCGCTTCTTTTAAAACCTCTTGGTTGCTCTTTTTGGCTGTCCAAGGTGTTCTAATCATTCTTCTGTAAAACCACATCTCTGAGGTCTCTAAAAATTGTTTGGCCTGCCTACCGATATGGGCATTGTTATATCTATTAAAATAAACGCAAACCAACCGAACGTTTGCCATGATCAAACATATAGGGAAGTCAGCAGGAGTTCGTTTAAAAACAAAACTCAGTATATAAAAGCGCATTATTTTGAAAATACTACTACATAACAGTTGGTTTTGGAAGATGACACATAAACTATTACTACACATAAACTAGAGACTTATTTTTTTATTATTTTTTTATTATTAGGAGGCTCCTTTTAATGTTTTGGCCAATCAAGATCACACACGAGGAACCTAGACAGAGGGGAAAAAAGGGGCGTTGGGGGGGGGGGGGTTATGCTCTATCCTGTCTTACGTTATCAAAGTAAGAAGATGAAAATGGCTTGGTCATGTCTGAACAATATCTCATGACTAACAGCGACAACTCTACGATGGGTGGCAGGGGATAAAAGGGAGACGTGGACGTTCAATAGAAAATGGCATGCAGGCAAAGAAAACGCCAACCAGGTGCTACCATGCGCAGCAAAGGAAAAATCAAACCAAAATCAGCAAGGAAACAAATTCTCAGTATTCAGTATAACCACTGCTCAACCCAAGAGCTGGTTAAACAGGACAAAAACCTTTTTCTCCAAATTACCATTACCTTACCCACAGAAACCCGCAGAAGGACAGTCTTCTAAAAGTCTATGCCGTGTGGCGCTGGTAGTCATGTCTGTCCACAGTCTTCTGTCTCGTGTACTTTCAATCAACTCTTACACAGATGATCTTCCATGCCACGATGTCAGACTGTCCAGCCTCTCCTTCCTTCCAGCTTTCCTACAGTCACAATGTACTAAAGTTTTCTCCTTCTCATCACATGACCAAAGAATGTAGATTGTCTCCTTCTAATGTAGGCAGTCAGTTCTTTTCGCGAGTCAGTTTCCTCAAGACATCCTGATAACTAATTTTATCTGTCCAAGACCTTTCGGAGGATTCACAATCAACCAATTAAAGAGTATCAGGGAATGATACCAAAAAAACACAGAAAATTTCCATCGAGAC